GGCACTGAGCGCTCCGGCAGCAGCGCAGTTGGACCGCAGGCTCCGGCGCTGGCAAGTCATGTAGCAAAAGCAGCAACCACCCCTCAGGAATTAGAAGAAAAAAAAAGGAAAAGAAAAAAAGAAAGAAAGAGAAAAAAGAAACAACCACCGCCCCGGGGGTGAAGCTCCCTCGCTCCCAACTCTACTTCTTGGTCTCCCCCCCACCCCCCGCTCCCCCCCCCTTCTGCTGCTTCCTCCTCCTCCTCCTCTCGCAGCAGCAGTCACAGCAGCAGCAGCAGCAGCCCAAAGGGGGGGAGAGCCGGGCGGCGGGCGGGCGCGTCCCGGAGCGGCCGCGGCGAGGCTGGGGAGACAGCGATCGAGGCGGCTATAGCCACAATTAATTTTCCGAGCTACAGGCGCACACTAGGGCTGTAAAAAAATTTTTGGTTTAACCTTTCCTACCGCTGGGCCAATCAGAGCCGGCGGCGTGCGGGAGCGTCTCTCCTGCCGTCGACCAATCGGCGGATCTGGGCCCACCCACCCCCGCCCCGCCCGCCGGCTCCCGCCCCCTCGGCGCTCGCCTCCCCCTCACCACGGGCCTGGGCCTCCCGGCCGCGCGGAACCGCGTAGGGATACACCGCCGGGAGCACGCTGCTGCCGCGGTCCTTCTCTGCGCCCCCTCCACCCCCTCCACCCTGCGGGGCTGCTCAACCAAAATCCCCCTCGTAGGGCAAATATCTCACATTTCCGGCTGCCTTCTTACTGTATTGGGTCATTTTCTTTTGAGCGTCAATATTTGTCGTTATTGATTAAAGTTTGTATTCAATTTTATTTTTTTAAAAGCGGGGGCGGCGGCGGCAGCGGTGGTGGAGCGAAGAGTGGGAGTGCAGGGAGAGGATGCAAGGACAGGGCAGGAAATGGAGGAGGAAGAGGCGAGGCGCTACTTTCCCGAGTCGGCCCTGCAGGCCCGGGTCGGCATTTCTGAGCCCGTAGGAAAATTGTGCCCCTTGTAGGTAACACTCCAGCGAGGCTTTGGATGGTTGGGGAGGGAAGGCCCACCCCTGGCGTGGGGAGGGGGGTGTCCTGCACCTTGGGGGAGGAGGGTCTGGATGGGGTTTGGAAACGGAGGGCTGAGGAGGAGGAAGTGGGCTGGCGAGCGCGGGGCCAAACAGGGGTTACTTACTCAGTTCCTGCGGCCGGGCGGCGGCGAGCTCGGAGCTCGGGCGCCGCGGGGAAGCCGGGCTTGGGGCTCCCGGCGCTGCGGCGGCGGGCGGGGGCGGCTCAGTGGTGGGCGCCTATGATAGCCTTCCGAAATGAGGGGTGCTCAGAGAGAAAACAATACCAAACAATCTCGAAATAAACCAGGTAACACATGCTATGTATATGTGTCTCTTCCCCTTCTCTCCTGCTCCAGACCGTCGCTCACACGCTGGGTGACTCGGTGTCGTTTTCTCTTCGCCGCTCGAGCGTCTCCTCAGCTTCTAATCCGAATTGGAAGCGAGTAGCCGCGAGCGATCACCCTGGAAATGTTTCATTTTGCTTGTTGACATGGGAGGGAAAATAAGGGTGGGCGGCTATTTCTTTCCTTTTTTTTTTTTTTTTAAGCCTTCCTGTTTTCACTCCCTCTTTTCTTTTTTCTTTCCGTTTCTCAAATGCTTTTGATTTGTGCGGGCCTTAATGCTGAAATAACCGCATGCTGAAGCCAGCCCTTTCCCACCCTGAATGCAGATGGAAGGCAACTAGAAGCCTTGGGTACGTGGGTCCCACAAGCCCAGCTTCTTGGGCTTTAGAACTGGGAAGGTTCGGCTGAGGGCTGAAGTGAGTGGGGAGATTGTGATTCGGGGGCTTTAAAAGGATCCCGTGGCCAGGGGCAGGGCTAAGGCCCAGCATTTCCCAGGGATTGGAATTTGGTGCGGAGCACACTGATCAAAGGCTGTTTCATCCCACGGGTACGAAACATACCACATTTTACGGAGGATGTAGCCCTAGAGAAGAGGGAGGTGGAGAGAAGCATAAATGAAAGGCACTTTCCCCCTCCTCTGTAAAATAATCATAAAATGTAAACATTTACTCACTTTGATAAACTATCAATTGTCTGGCAGATTTAGTATTTAAGAAAAGGAAGGAAGAAAAAGCGATGCCTATGTGTGATATTAAAGTTCAATTCTAATATAAAGAATGCAGTTGATGAATACAAGAATACTCAGGTTAATATGGAGTTATTGCACTCTCCCCACCCCACTCCCTACCTTGAAATCCCGAGGAAGAGAAAGAGAGAATAAACTCTGAAGAGAATAACAATTACAAATAGCTAGTGATTTTAAAAATCTCTATTAGGAATACCATAAAGAAACTTTGAATATTGGACTAACCTCATCTATCCTTCCACCGTATGTATGTATCCCCCCTCCCATTTCTACATATTTCCTTACTTAAGCTATATTTATATGTGGGAAAGTTCAAGGGTCCGAGCTATCAACGTTGATAGTGACATGGCCCCAAACACTGACTTCTAAGCTCCAGTTTCTTACAGAGCTGGGTGAGCTAATGGGCTTTGTGGACCGGTTGGAGAGATCTGTGAGCCTTCCTCTTCTTTCTGCTTACTTTCCTTCTTTCACTCTTCTCCCCCCCTCAGGCCTGTTATTCCTACTTTTCCTCAACTCACTTTCCTCCCTCCTCCCCTCTTCCTCCCTCCTCCCCACTCGCTACCCCCCCTTCTCCTCTGTCTATTCCTCTCCCTCACCCCATTCCTCCACCTACTCCTCCCCATTTCTCCCCCTACAACCCCCCTTCTCATCACCACTTATAATGGCACACAAGGGCTCCCTCTGAGGTGGACGGCCCGGTACGTTTTCGTAGTCGGTCTAGCGTGAAATGATTCGGTGTAACCGGATTCTTGGGAAAGGACAGGTTACGTAAACATTTACTGATGTGGAGTAACTATACTATTTGTACTCTGATATGCAGGAAGGAAAGTGTTGATTAACACAGAAGAAAAAAAAGCGAAATTAGCTGATTGCATGCTCATAAGTGCAAGCTGTCATTGAACTGCTTTTAAAATAGACACAGCTGGGTGTTTGTGTTGAAAAATTTCTTGTGTTTTTGCTAATACTGAAATAAGCATGATTTTGTATACCAAACATTTTCAGATCATTAAAATTTGTAATCTGTGCTGGTTTTAAACACAAAGAAAAGAAACAGAATCATTTCGATGTAAAATTTGCTGATATTATATTAACTCAATCAGGTCTGTACAAATTGTGCATTGTGCCTCCTAAAATCTGTTTGATCAATTTAATACACAAAGTGCCAAACGTGGGTATTGTTTGTTAACATTGGACATTTTATTCAAATCTGAGCTCAGCAGCAAACTGGAGGAGCATTCCTTGAATACAACACCAGCACTGACTGATGAATTTTTAATGTTTTAAAGGTGTTTCTTAGGTCAAAGCTGAGTGTGCATTGTTTTGTAATCTTGCATAAAATTTTAGCAGGTGAAATAAGTTTTTCTTTTGTTTACTTTCAAAAAGCAAAAACTGGGGTCTGCTAATGAGAGCTGTAATAATCTGGTTTGATGTGCCAGGAGCTTATATTGACTGGGAAAATATTTTGCATGCAAATTAAGAATATGTTGTATTATTTTAAGGATTGCATGGATGCAAGTCTCAAAATAGGATATTTGTGTAGGAATAAATAGATTATACTTTGATATAATCACTCTAAAGATCTATCCTCCCTGATAACAGAGGTCATTTGCAATCTGGAGGAAAATGATTATATTATCCTTTTAATAATTTTAATGGACTTTATGGTGAGATAGAGTACTATATATATATGTATATATATAGTACATATATATATATATGGGGGGGTAGGTTCAACAAAACATGCACTATTTACTCAGCAGCCCACATTTGTCTCAGCAATGGCTTCTTTTTAGAGCTACTACTAGATGAAATAGAGGGGGAGGGGGTACTTGGGCAGAGCATTGTGCAAGTTGAAAGTCCGTGGATGGAGCTTTATAAATCCTACCGGTCAATTTGGGTGCAAAATGGATTTGAAGGACTGCCCGCATCCACTTCGGGCTTCTGTCCTAAACACATGAAGCCCCAACTCTGTATTTCCACCTCACTCAGTCCCTATGATTACTTTCAGAAGACAGAGGACATCCAGTGGTCTCAGATCTAAAGCAAATTCTGTATCATTCTACTAGTTTCTCATCATCAGCTTAATCTTGATCCCTCACACATGAACATCTATAAATGTACACTGTTAACGAATCAAAGCATAAGTCAAAGCAAATGTAATTTTCTGGTATATAAAGTAGTAAACATCTGTCCTTCTCTGTCTGCTGTCCCACCCCACCACCTCCCCCGAAAAGAGGACAGGCCTTGTAAAGAGTGAGCAGTTCCAACAGAAGAATTGCTTGGGAAATGAATTAGATTATTTCATCTCTAGTTTTAATTAATAACCAAGGCTCCACAGACTATTGCATCTGAGTAGGGAGCAGCACATTTAGTTTTTTCATTTGGGGTGTTACATTAAGTCTTACATAAGGCCCTTTTCCTGCTTTCTGTTGGTTTTTCACTTCTTTTTTCCCTTGTTACCTGCTGGTTAAAGGAGGGTGGGCCATTTTTTACCTAAAATCCACTTTGCTTTCAGCTCCCTGGACAGAGTGTCCTTGGAGTGGCACCAAGCTCTGGCTAAAGCTCTCTTCCTGCAGATGCGTAGGGAGTCCCTGACCCTGAGACGTTTGGGAACAAGTGGAGCTCATGCAGAGGCATCCAGGTATTTCCAGAGACTGACGAGTGAGGTCTGCAATCCCTTCCTAACAGCAGGTAATGGTGCTAACATTTAGTGATTATAAGTTACTCTTTAGCGTGTTGTATCCTTGTTCTGTGGGTTTTGGTTACAGGTTATACGATTAGGTTTGCGAGAACAGTAGTGAACTAAACTTCTCAGTAAGAGGTCTTCACACCAGGGAAGTGTTACTTTTCTGCAGCAGCCCTGCCTTGTCACTCATTAGGGAGCTGCAGGTTGTCAAGCGGCTGCTCTCAGCACGCACGCGTGCACCCCCAATATCCCCGGGGGCGCGCACATGTGTGCGAGCGTGTGTGTGCGCGCGCACAAGCACAGACACACACAGACACACACACCGCACTAAAACTAAATTAAGAAGCCGATGATTAAGACAAGCGTCTACTAGGCCTGTCATTTCAGCATCCTTCCATCATAACATTGTGGCACCGGCAATTTTGCTTGAGAACCTCGAGAAAAAAAAAAAAAAAAACTATGGGAGAGCCTCCTATTTGAGAATCGAAATGTTTAACTGGTGTAAGCTATCGAAGCTTCGGAAGTGAGAAAGTCCAAGGTGAAGGAAGAAGAAGGCCTGGATAGAGACCCCTGGGACTCCCCAGGCAGGTTTCTGTGATGCTGTCAGGGGTTCCAAGCTCTCTGAAGGCAAGTACATACTCATCAAAGAAACCGCAGGAGATCTGCAACAAAATACAGTCGGGAGTAGCTTCTTCACATTGGAGAGCCAGGCACAGAGAGATGGACAATGAAGTATTATCACCCCAGGGCCAAGGACTTTTTAAAAAGTCTCTCGGAGCCTTTCAAATACTCTACACATTTTTCGTAAATATAAAATGCCCACTACCCTTTACTTATTTCCAGTTATTTGCCAGCCCCCTCAAGACCTCCGGGGGTAGACAATTTTCGGAAAGAGTTGAGTCCCTAATAGTGTGAGGACAAGCCTGTTCCATTTCTTGACCTGATCCAATTGGAAGATATGATCCCACACCTTTTGCGCAAGCGTGCTCTGAGAGGTCCTTTTTCTCCTCTCCTTGCCCAAGGAAATGGCACAGCTCTTCCTTCAAAGGGGTCAGGAAATGCTAAAGAGAAAGACAAAGAGTTGGAGGGTGATGGTAAAGGGGAATGATGAGAATGATGGAGGTCTTTAGCTTTAACCCTGGAGTCTATCTGAAAAGGGAGGAATTGAGACTTGGCAAAAGTCAGCACACAAGATAATGGATTTTCCATCAGCGGGACACCAAAAGAGGGAGAAAAAGAAAGACTTCATAAATATATATCAGGCTGAAAGAAGAGCTTACAGGCCTCAAAATGCTGAGCTCCTAACTATCCTGTCACTGTTCTCCTTAATTAGTTGGAGCTTCAATTTGATTTCCCCGTAGGAGCCTGAATAATCTACTTTGGGAAGTGTTATAGCACTCTTCGGAGAATGTGGTGCATCCAGTCTCCTCTATTTTGAAGCACCGTTCTAACAGGCCCCACAAACTCCAGTCGTTGTGAGGAAAGATGGATCGGTGTTAGTTGCCATTTTTAGGTGGTCAACTCTTAAAGGTACACGAAGAGCACTGAACAGCCCAGGGTCCGTATAGGAGAGTGATGAGTGTATTTGAGAAAATGCTCGTACCCACTAATGGTCTGTGAAGGAATGAGGAGAGAGAAAACTTGCAAGCGTTGGGGTGGGCAGGCCAGAAGGCACGCTGAGAATCCTCCATCACAGATTCCCTCTTCTCATGGGGAAAGTCAAATGAGAGAAAGTAAACTGTTTGCTAATCCAGTACATCAACTCCTTTTCTAAAAACCCAGATGGACAAACCAATGAGCCAGTTTTGACTTCCAGCCTATCTCCTACCCACCTGCCTCCTCACTCTCGAACTGCGGTTCCTGTAGGTCTTCCCCCGCCCCCTCCTAATAGCGATGGAAAATCTATTGGAGCAGCGTTTCCCAAAAGGTCCTGATCTTCTCCCTCCGCCGCTCATCCCTGGAGGCTTTAACCCGGACAGTTCCCGGCGAGGAGCGTCTGCGGAGCCCGGCTCCCGGGCCCGCCGCTCCTGCCCGCGCACACCCGAGCGCCTGCCCCGAGCTCCTTTGTCGCGGAGCCTGCCGAGCGCAATCTAGCTAGAGGACTTGCTTTTAGGTTTCGTTTCCGGATTTTCCCCCTTTATAGTTACCTTTCCAGACGAGATGTCTCGTGTTTGCACATCACGCCGGAAGAATGCACACAGATCAATGTTTTGGGGGCTAAGAGGTCATGTGCTACGATGAACGCGCAAAAAAGACCAGTTAATGGTTTTAAGCTTATTATTTGTATAAAGCACAGCTCCGAGTTAAAAGACTAGGGTACGTGTAGGTGAAGTTAATTCGAATATTCAGTTACATGTCAGCGGTGTTGAACCCAGTAGGGGAGACCAGTTATACCCCTATTTCTCTCCAGCCCTTTGGAAGGAGCCGCATTCGGGGAGGAGAGGAGCGGCCCGGGTAAGCTAGTCGCAGAATCGCGTCAGAAACAAGTTTCCGTTAGCGTGTGAAAACAAAACACCCCGACTCCTCCGTTTCAGAATCTACAACAAAGGTAGTGGGGGGTGGCGATGGTCACTTTTATTTTAAAAACAATCCTAGATTCTTGTTTACCAATTTTAGTATCTTCCTTCTGGGTTTGTCCTAAGGCACGCAGGAGAGAAAGTAATGTTCACGAAAAAAGCACGGTCGGCAAAGTTTGGCTCGTGAGCGTGTGAACTATGAATCACCACGGTGAAGAGGTTTTCTTTTTTTCTCACTCTTTCCTTTTCTCTTTGGAGCGTGAACTTGTAAGATAAGATAGATGAGACCATGAGGAAGTGGAAACGCTGAAAAAGCCCAGTTCTTTTGGAGAGCTGCCTGGCAGACGGCGGCCGAGCTCTGTCTAGGAGCTGAGCGGCGCAGGGTTTGCTCCGGAGCTGTCCCAACTCCTGCCTCCGCGGCAGCCGGCAACACCCAACACTGCGCTGGGATCGCTGCCCAAGCAGCCTACCCTTTGGCCTTGGAGTAAACAGCCCAGAAGATGCGAGAATGGCCCCTAATTGGGCTGAGTGTCTGCTCTTCAGCTCCTAACACTAAACTGGGCCCGCAGGTTTTCCTGGAGGAAGTTGGAAGTCCGACCACAAAACAATCAAAGGATGGGAGACACTAGATTTTAGAGAAGTCTGGAGTTACACATGAAACATTATTTTTCTCATTAATTAGAAGTAATCCCCTTTCCCTATTTATATGTATGTGCACGCTATTGGTTACACACCGCGATTTACTTGAAAAATGCTTAGAGTATCTTTAGCACACGCTCCTCATTCTTTGTCTCCTCAAGCATTTTCAGCTGATAGTATGGCTGGTTGGGGTCAATTAGCAGTGGATTTTGCCCCAAGGTTGCTCCCCAGGGCGGACAAATGGAGCCAAGTCATCTCCAGCGATGTTTTTCGCCCACATGCGTATCCACGCCAGGGCTTTAGAAACAGTTCAAAATCCCCAGCCTTGGTTTCACTTGATTCTGTTGTTGTTGTTATTGATAAATATTGGGTCATACACAAGGCACTTGTCAGATACTTTGGCTCAATCTCGCAGCTGCAGCTCCTAGCCGGGCGTTTGAGTTGTGTCCTAGGAACTGGAGGGATTTATTGGGAGAAGAATTGCACATTCTCTGTTCCTTCAGTTGCAGAGATGATCTCTTAAAATCCTATGTCCTGTCTGCTGTCACGTTTATTTCTTGATTTGTTCAGCTGCGTGAACATTGGGTAGATGCTTGCATCTTTTCATGTATCTTTTTATTGAAATTGTCTTTTTAAAAAGGAGGGAGAAACTATTGATCCCAGTTCTCTAGGTATATCTGAAACCAGAAAGAACATAGGCGAGTAGACAGATAATTGTAATTATGGGCTGGGTAGGGGTTTCCTGGTGGTGCTGGTTGGGTAGGTAAGACACTTGGGGGTTGTGTAATTGGAGTAATATATACAGTTTATCTTTCGGCTGTGCTGTGCATACTCTTTCCCTTGATACATATTGCACATGAACTGAACCCATGGTCGGCTTGTCTTGGCATGTTTGAAGCTCCAGACACCCAACAGTATCATTACAGGAAAGAGACAAAACCCCAAAGACTCCAGGCAGGGAGATGGCTGCCTTTGGGGTGAATGGGGAGTTTGTCTTGGCGTTGGACTTTTCGGGTAAGCGCAACACTGGTTCAGGACTGCCTGGCAGCCAGAGTTCAGGTCTTCCCCGCGCTGAAGTGCAGAGAGGGGGTGGGGATAGGGGTGGGGAAAGAAACAGCTGATTTTCGACATTTCAAAAGGACTCTTTCTATTTATCAGTGTTACCGAAGTGTACGTTACTGGAGAAACAACAAAACAAGCATAGAGCTGCAATTTTCAAGAAAATAGGATCCCCAAATATAAAAATAAAAAAGTAGCAGATAAGATGTATAATTCAATCAAATTACACAAAATTGCTTGAAAATCCAGAACAGTAGCGATCCATTATGCCTCTGTTTTATTAGTGACAAGTACAATTACTCTAAAATAAAGAACACTGGTGAATATATAATTGGCTGTAATCATGTTAGTGTTTGAATAAAAATGACGGGAACATTTAACACTTTGACAACAAAATGTTCAGAAATAACTTATTTATTCAAACAGTTTTTATTTTCCACCAAGTGAAGGAGAAACACAGTTTGCTTAGGAAAATCAATGACTTTTCCCTACAATAAATAAATATCCAAAAGGGGGAAAAACAGCCCCACACCTCTATATTATTACTATTATTTTTTTTTAACCAGCAAGAAGCTTAATCCTGTGTTTGGAGTCAGCACCCGCCTAACTGTTGTTGGGTACCAACGTCCGCCACCTAGAGGAAGAGCTCTGCAGCTCACCCAACGCCAACCCGTTTTCCCGCGGTGACCTCGGGAATCAAACTTAATATTCCTTTGCAAATCGCTCTCCAAACTAACTCCCCCCTCCCACACCCCCTCACATCCCCTTCCGCCCTACAACATCGTCACAAT